ACATTAGTAATTGTTAAATAATTAATTATAATTTTGGAAACATTATAATATATAAATTCTCACCTTAAAGGCCCAAGTAAAGCCTGTCAAAGTGTATTTAGAACCATCACCCCGCAAACTTTTTCGGTCCTCAAAGGTAGATGACAACTTCTTCCAGGTAGCTTTCCATAGATATGAACCCCACGGAAACAGGTTCTATGCATTTAGGTCCTCTACCAATAATATTAGGTCCTCGGAGATTGGTTGTCTTCCCTTTTTGCCTAAAAAGTCGGCAAGCAAAAGTAATAAATGGCATACTCGGACAACATCAAGGTCATCCATCCGAGTAAAACCATCTTTATCAAATAATCTCTTCAAGTCGTCAACGTGTATACTCGGCTTCAACTTTGTCAGCTCAGGAAAAACCCGATATAACCATGATGGGCGGGCGATATGACTATTGTACCGACCTACATCATCGTGTCTGAAGCGTAGACCGGTGATTAAGTAAAACTCCTCCCGCCCAAAACAAGTATACGCCGGTGTTGGAGGAAAATGAAACCATATCTCCTCATCACCACGTTGTACCCCCTCGGGTAGATCGTTAGTCATGGTCTGAAGAAACAAATGTGTCAACATAGCATCTCCACTCGTATGTTGCACTTTCAGCCATGGCCCGAAGCAAGTATCCTCAAACAATTTTCTTTGTAGAGGTGTAAGTGTCAACGTAATTTTAGTGGTTAGGCTTAATTTATTCCTTAAGGTCAATGCAGGCGAAAAAAATTTCTATGAAAACAATAAACATACCAAGTTAGATATACCAAAAACTACAAATTATACACTATAAACAGACATGATATTAAACAGTGAAAACAAAGCCAAATATGTTTCAAACTAGCACGATATTCACCTAAGTCATTATTCCATCACAGTTCATAAAATGCATCAGATAACATTCCAGAAATAAGCACTTATATAAACATTTAAAAGGACAACATATAGGTTTAGTGCAGGTTCAAGGACAACATAAAGAGTAGTAGTTTATTCTTGAAACTTAAATTAGCAACACTGTGAAGTTAGTATTTGTCTTTGTTTTTTGGTTGAAGAAATGCAATTCATTCAAGTTTCAATTTACAGAATAAAAGAAGTTTATGAAACTTAAATTCGAAACGTGAAAATGAAAATTGCAACGCGAAAATGAAAATCGCAACGCGAAACTAAAATCGTGTTGCGATTTTCATTTTCGCGTTGTGAATTTGGTGTTGTGATTTAGGGTTTCTTCAACAAAAAGACAAAACAAAGACAAATACTAACTTCACAAGGTTAAAGACTAAACAGTTTAGCAGTACTGGCAGCAACCGAATGAATTTAGCAATCTCAGTGAAATGGTTAATCTAATAATAATACAAAAATTTCAAAATAAAAATAAGAGATTAAAAAAACTAACCCTCGGTGGTTGATTTTTCATTTCTGACCGTGAATGGTTGTGAGGGTTGCTCTGAGAGATGAAGATAGACGGATTTCATCGGAAATGGGGACGGATTTTGTCGGAGATGAGGACGGATGTCGCCGTAGAGAGTGAGAGATTGAGATTGGACTGAGTTGTGCTTTAGGGTTTTAGGTTAGAGATGATTTGCGATAATATTGTGTACATTTGTGTTGCAAAATTAATATTGTGTTTCGCGTAAAAACATTTGACTTTCGCATTGCGAATTTGACTATCGCGTTGCGAATTTGACTTCTGTGTTGCGATTTACAAATTCGCGTTGCGAATTTGGAAACTGGGTTGTGAAATTGGAATTCGCATTGCGAATTTGTTGGTCATTTTGGCAAATCCAAAAAAAGTTGGTTAAATTCGTATATTTATAAGGCATTTTTGGTCACTGAGGTTATTTTCTCTTTGATAAATCCTTAGTGTGGATAGCTAAAGTAGTGGATGTAGACTTAGTTTAAAAGTCAAATTACTCTAAATTGATGTGCAAAGTTTTTATTTTTTGGTTGCTTCCACCAAAATTTTAAAAGGACAATTCACCCCCTCTTGGCATGTTTTGGTTGTTCATTAGAGCTAACAAGGATATTATGAAAAATTAAGTGACTAAATTGAAAATAAAAAAATTATCAAAAAGAGGAATTGAAAGTACATATGTATTCTACGATGGTGTAAGAGCATGTGACTCAAATTTGATAAAAATAGACTTAAAATGAAGGAGAAGTTGAATGAATAATGAAATTGGAGACTAAATCATAAAGTTGTAAAAATGCTTGGTCAAATTTTTTATTTTTTGAGTAACTCAAAATTTCGACTCAACTCAAACCCAAAAAAATGAATTAATAATTCGAGTTGACTTGAATAACTCAAATAACATAAAATTGAAAAAAAAAAATCAATTTTTTCAAGCCGAATCGAATTTTACTCAACCCTACTCCAAAGTATACCAACGCCCCATATAACCCACATCTGATAAGCCACAGTTGTCAATCACAACACGAAAAGCACTAATCTGCCTCTCGCTACGAACCAATCTCTCATCCTTCTCGTACGAGAACATGATCTTGTTAAAGTTGCCAATCACTAGCCATGGAACTACTGGGATATTATTTAGTCGATTCAACAAAGCCCACAACTCTGCACACCTGCCCTCTTCTGGTGCCTCATAAAACCCTTTACACCTCCAAGTAGAACTGTCTGAGTCGTTTGTCAACAATATATCAATATGAGAGCTTAAGAACGATCGTAAAATCACCGCACAGTCTCGTTTCCAAGCCAGACAAAATCCTCCTCTTGTTCTTTGAGGATCACTTCAATACCATTCGAAAATCCACACGATGTCCTTACTTTTAACATGTACGAACTCTGCAGCTTTGTTTCCATTAAAAAAGCTATAGATGGGTTAAGATCTCTCAGCATATGCCAGAGACGACACACTGTCCGAGGTTTCCCTAATCCTCGAACGTTCTAGATTAAGAGTTTTATTACTCCCGGTTGGCCTGAGATACCAGACCTGCTGATATGTCCAGATTATCGGTGTCATTTTTCTTAACCCGACTTTGGAGTTACTGGAACACTCCGCTGCGACTTTACACTTTCCTACTTCATAAATGGAACATCCTCTACAGCTGATTTTATTACAATATCAGCTCCCCTTGAACCCCATTGTCAGTGGTTGACTAGAACGTTTTCTAAACCTACTATTTTATACCCTAACTCTTAGAGTGATTTGGTTCACGGAATGTAAGATTACCAGTAGAAATAAAAGATTACCAGGGAATAGGATTACTGAGGATGTTGTATTTTGTGTTTGATTAGTTTAGTAGGAATATAAGATTATCGTGTTTGGTTAAAGGAATAAAAGATTATTGGAATGTATATTTTACCAAATTATTCTTATTATATATATATATATTTTAACAAGTTGAATTTTACTATAATATTACTATAATTAATTTATATATTTTCTTTAAAAATTTAAATTCATAAAATTTATATAATTTTTTTACAAAATTTTATTTTAACTCCTAAACTTCTTATAAAATTATAATTATGAACTTTTTGTAAATATAAAATAGTTTAAGTATAAATTTGTAAGTTAACCTTCATAGAATTTTTATTGTTCAACAACAGAAGAAGGATAATTTTGAAGAAAAAAATTTATGGCATTTTAGTCCAAAACGCCGGTAATTCAACAATACCTAAGAGAAGGGATAATCACATTCCCGGTAATATACCCCAAAAAATCCACTATTGGTAATAAAAGATTATCGATAATAAGATTACCGGCCAACTAAACGGAGGAATAAGGATTACATTCCCTCGATAATGTTGTATGGCTTGAACCAAACTGCCCCTTACCGTGTTCAGGAGTTAGGGCATCAGTGCCCCTACTACTCTATATTGCTTATACATTCTCTCCAGCATTCTCGTCCTATAACCAAGGGCTGGACAAAACTCCACTTTTGGCAGAGCACGAATAGAAAAATCCCATTGTGGAACCAAATCCTTCCTCTCCTGGAGAACCCTCAACGGACATAAATTTTCTCCATGGCTTAATTTGCCACATAAGAAACAAAAGAGACAGTTTCTCGTATTGAAATGTGACATATCCAAATAATCCGTTCGCTAACACCAGATTTTTCCTCCAATTTAATGGCTTCTTAACATCAGTTTTGACCCTGATCCGGATAAAACCGCGATATCTTAGAGTGACGTGGGGTAGATCATTGACTAGCACCCAAAAACCTACTTTCTTCAAAGACACCAACATCGGATCCTCCCCCTTTTCTATGAGATGGAAAATTAGTAAGTGGGAGTTGAAAAAGCACGGGCCTTTAGATTCCAATCGATCAGCATCGACCTCATGATATAAGTGATGAGTGATTAGATTTGCATATATTTTGATGATAATTATTCCTCTTTGTTTTTTTGATGTTACTGATTTGGTTCTGTTTTAACTCATTTTTCATGCAAGGATTTATTTTCCAAAACCAACAGTACAAGGGTAAAATCTGTAGTTTTTATTTTTTTTGGAATCATGGTTGGAGTCCTAGGCACAACTTAGTGCACGACTGATTTCGACATGGCAAAATCTGACAATCCAGTCAGCATCAGTTTCTAGAAGGCAATCCAATCAGCATTTTCCTGAAAGGAGAATGGGCAAAATTATTTAGGGATTTTAAGTTTGAATTTTTAAGATAAATATTTTGAATTATTATTAGGATTTTCTATTTTATTTTGAATATTTTGAAGCATGTATTGAATTTGATTTTTTTAGGGTTATTTTTATAAAAGTTTTATTTTTCTTCAATATTTGTTTTTACTTTTAAAAAATACTAAGTATGATTTCTATCATGCTTAGCTAAATTTCCATTTAGCCAAAAGGCTTAGCGATGACTCAATTCCATTTGTGAGAATTAAAAAGCACTTAACATCATCGGATAACATTCTCGACTTTCAGAAAATTTGATTTGGAAAACGATCATCTCTTTAATAATCTTAACACTCTCACTTCAAAAAGACATCGTTGATTTGAAGGTTGTTTTGATTTACATTTTGGGAGAAAGAATCGGTTGGTCGTAATTCTCATTCCTTTGAACAAACTTAACGATGGTCCACTAAGGTGAATCGAGATCGGTTTCCACTCTCATTAAGACACCATACCCAAGTCAGGTTTTTCTAGCGCTTAAAGTTGTATTGATATTAACGACGATAGCCATGGTTAGTTCAGCAATGACTGAATTCTAGAGATAGATTTGGGAATATTGGTTTACCATAGATAAAAGTAAGTTACAAGGGTTGAGTCTTGTAGACTATAACTAGCATGTTTCCCTAAGTAAAATCTTTTTCAATGATCAATTAGAATTTAGGCAAAGCAAAGCTTTAGGCTATCTTCATCTTATAAATTTCTTTTCAAAATCTACTTTAATTTTGTTCCACCATTTTTCTATATTCACTTTTATTTTATTTTATTTTATATATTTTTTACTTTTATTCTTTCATTTTAAAATTCATTTTCTTTTTACTACCCGTTAAAAACAGGATCAAAACAATTCAACATTTGAAGCATTCGTCCATGCGGATTGACCCTTATTCTCTTTACAACATTTTTATTTATTTTATTTGAGAATAAGGAATGTTTACTTGACAATTACGATGCTTTTCAAATTGACATCGTTGTCGGGGACTTCAGGAAAATTACTAATATAGTTTTGTTTTGATTAATGACCAGGTTGCGTCTGAGAGAATTAGTAGATTGTGAACCTGAAATTGAAGCACTTGCTCAGAGAATACGTGGAAAACACTTCGAAAAAGGAGATAACAACGAAAATAACAACAACAACTAGATCCAGATTCAGAAGCAACCTCTAAAACATAAATCACATACGACGAATAATCGGTTCAAATGGCTAATCAAACAATCTAAGAACTAATTGTGGCAACATCTTTTGTCTGCCTTTCATGGTTTGCCAAATAAAAACCCACACAAACATCTCACGGAGTTTCATATGATTTGCTTAAGTATGAAACTAGAGAGAGTATCCGAAGACCAAATCAAATTTTGCACCTTCTTTTTTTCCTTAGTCAATTTGGCTAAGGATTAGTTATTTATTTATTGCCTAATTTAGTTACTACATGGATTGATATGACTTGGTTGTTTCTTGTCAGTTCTTCCCTATGGCTAAAGCGAGCGAATTAAGGAGAAGCATCTTTGGAATCCGACAATAAGTCTTTTTATGACTATTAAGAGTGATTCAATAAACTTTGTGCTAGTTTTATGCAACACGAACTATCGAAACAAACTCTCCTCCAGTACTTCTATGAAGCCTCATTTCCTATAGAGATAAAGATGACTGGCGCGAAAAGTGGAGGGGCTCTTGTAAACTTGACTCCAAATACAACCATAAATTTAATTTTTACTATAGCCGCCAACTCTCAACAGTTTGACCCATTCAATTAACCCACTCGTTGGGTTATCGAGATAAGTAGTCTCTCCTTAGAAGACAAAATTGATAAGTTAACTAACAAAGTTCAATCTTTTCTTACAGGCAAAATAGGTCCATCTAGACTATGTAGAATTTGCACAATGATGGATCATCCCACAGATTTTTATCTTATACTTCAAGAATATACTACGGCCCACGTAGATACACATAAATCCTATCAATCGAGACCACATTCACTTCAACAGTACCAAACATAAAAATCATCTTTGGAGATGATTGTTGAGTATTTGTGTTGAAGAATCGAGCAAAGATAACGAAAGAACACAAGAATTTTAACGAGGTTCGGTAATGTGCTTACGTCCTCGGTGCCTAGGCGGCGCTAGAAGTTTTATTCAATGTCTCATAGGTTTATGTTACATCTCTATTTATAATTGGCTAATATTGTTAGAAGAAGAAGAAAGTGCCGAAAACTCATACATAACCCCCTACTCTATCAACTTATGTCGTTTCACCTCCTTTTCCAATAATATTAGTTAAGCGCGACAAACAAATCCAGGAGAAAAAATAATTGATGTTTTCTGTAAGGTCAAGATAAACATACCCCTTATTGATGTTATCAAAAAGGTTCCACGGTATGCCATATTTTTTAAGGATCTTTGCACAAATAAAGAAAAGAGCTTACCATGAATGAAAAGGAAAACTTATGTGAAAATGTTTATATCATCATTCAACATAAAATTTCACCTAAGTACAAGGATCAAGGTATGCTTGTGATCCCCTGTAAGATTGGTAAGGTAGGTTTAAAACGTGTTATGTGTGATTTGAGAGCACCTATAAATGTTATGTATCTTTCAATTTATAGCTTACTTAGTGATGAGCCTTTGAAGGAAACAAGTGTAACAATCCAGCTCACCATAAATCTGTTGTGTATCCTAAATGAGTCTTTGAGAACGTGTTTGTGAAAGTAAACAATTTGATCTTCTCGGTGGATTTTTTCATCATTGACATAGAGGAAGATCGTTCAAATAACTCCTCTTATATTTTTTCTCGGAATACCCTTTCTAAGCACAACTTAGACTAAACTTGACGTTAGAAAGGAAATTCTTTCTATGGAATTTATTGGTGAAGTAGTAAAATTCGATGTTTAGAAAGTAATGAAGTATCCAGACTCTATGGCAAACATTAGCTTCGTTGATATTTATGAGCCTTTTGTTGATGAATTTATGGAAACTAACTTATATGGTGATTTGGACAGGGAATTGGAGGATGAAGTTGACAAAATAAGGCAGTTGGAAAATATTTTTTCTACTTTTTCAGATTTGCGCCTAACTTCTGTAAGAACTAAAATATTACCTTAAATTTTGTAGGCACCAAAAATTGGGGTGAAATAGTTACTGGAACACTTAAAGTACGGGTGAAGAAAGCTCAACTCGACTCAAAAAAACTAAATTTTTATACTCGAATTGACTTCGAGTTACAATTTCATAAACTCGACTCGACTCGAAAAAATTTCAAGTTCAAATCAAGTTGTAAAATACAACTCGAATAACTCAAAATTTTTAGTAATTAGATGATTTATTTTCAAGTTTGAGTCGAGTCCTTGGACTTTGTATGATATATGTATATCACATATAAAAAAATATGTAGAACATATTTGCATCGTATATATGGTTATATAAACTCACTTAAATTTGAACCAAATAATATTATAATATTATAAATATTCACAATTAAATTTAAACAGAAACTTGAAAAATTGGCTCGACTTGACTTGACTCGACTTGAATTTTATAAACTCGAATTGACTTGAAAAAATTTTTAAGTCAACTCCAAGTTGAAAAATATGACTCATCAACTAGAATAACTCGAAATTTGTTTTTACTCAACTAGACTCATTTGAATGCTCACCCTTAACTTAAAGTATGCATTTTTGGGATATAACGTAACTTTACTTGTTATAACTTCCAACAAGTTTTCCGAGGAAGAGAAAGAGGATTTGGTAAAGTCTTAAGAACTTAAAAGGAAGTAATTGAATACACCATAATCAACATCAATGGACTTAGTTCCTCAATGTGCATGCATAAGATCAAGGTCAAAGATAACTATAAGCCTTCCCGAGAAGGTCAAAGGCATTTAAATCCTCCCATGATGGAGGTGGTGAAAAATGAATTTCAGAAGCTCTTAGATACCGACATGGTCTATTCGATATTCGATAGCAATTAGGTACGTCCAATCCATATGGTCCTTAAGAAAACTAGAGTTACAATTGTCATAAATTCTAAACATGAACTGATCCCTACACGAGTTCAAAAACGGATGATGAGTTTGTATAGATTATAGGAATTTGAATTCTTAAACTCGAAAAAAACCATTTTCTACTTTTCTTTGTTGATCAGATGATTGAGAGATTAGTAGGGGAATCTCATTATTGTTGTCTTGATGGCCTTTTAGGTTTCTTTCAGATCTCAGTGGCGCCAGAAGATAAGGAAAAAATGACTTTTACCAACCCCTTTGGAACTTTCACATATCGTCGGATGCCCTTTGATTTTCGTAATGCGCCGGCTACATTCCAGAGATACATGGTAAGCATATTTTCAGATTATATCAAGAAGGTAATCGAAGTATTCATGGATGACTTCATGGTTTACGGTAACTCCTTTGGTAAGTGTTTGTCGAATTTGACTAAGACTTTGAAACGATGCCTTAGTTTAATATTGTTCTTAATTACGAAAAATGTAACTTCATGGTTGATAAATATTTGATTTTAAGCCATATTGTTTCTTCTAAAGGAATTACAGTCAATAAGGCCAAAACTGAAATAATTCGCTCACTCCCATACCCCACAACTGTGAGGGACATTCGCTCTTTTCTTGGTCAAGTAGGTTTTTACCGTATGATCATAAAAGATTTTTCTAAAGTATCGTATCCACTTCTCAATTTACTACAAAAAGATAAATCTTTTGATTTTAACCAATAATGTAGAGATTATTTTGATATTTTGAAGGAAAAACACATTTTGGCACCCATTGTTTAATCACCTATTGGGATTATCCTTTCGGAATCATGTGAGATACGAGAAATTCGAGTGTTGGAGTTGTATTTGGAAAAAAAATTGATAAAGAACCCCACGTGACAACCTATACGTCCAAGACATTGGATACGGCTCAATGAAATTATTCGAGTACCGAAAAAGAACTTTATGCTATCATTTTCACTTTAGAAAATTTTCGTTTAGATATTCTAGGCACTAAAATAATTGTTTTTTATCATTCAATTTAGAAATATTTACTGAGCAAAAAGGAGGCTAAACCAAGCTTAACCGGTGGATTTTACTCTTACAATAATTTAATCTTGAAATCAAGGATAAGAATGGATGTGAAAACTTGATAGCCTATTATTGAGCTGATTACCGATCTCTACACACGATGTGTCGGTTCAAGAAGAGTTCCCAGAGGTAATTATTTAGCCACTAGAGTTTTACCTTCTGACTTATTGCGTTCTGAGGTAAGTCAAATCAAGCATGTATCCCGATTCTACATTGTAGATGATCCATACCTTTAGAAGCATTATTAAGATTAGGTAATTCGGTAATGGGTTGCCAAAAGTGAGGTAAATTATATACTTAGTTTTTTCCACTCTTATTCGTGTGGAAGTCGCTTCAGACCAAAGTGAATTACGCAAAAAAAATTAGAATATATTTTTTTGGCCTAACATCTTTTGTGATACAAATAAATCTTGTGAAAGATGTCAACGAGCAGTTAATTTAAGTCGAATGAATGAAATGCCCCCTAATCTGCTTCACATTTACGAAATCTTTGCTATGTGGGAAATTAATTACATGGGACCTTTCGTTTCTTCCTTTGGAAACTATTACATCATACTTGATGTCGATTACATATTGAAATGGGTAGAAGCTAAAGCTACTCGAAATAATGATGTTAACTGTGAATTTTTAAAGGATTTTATCTTTTCCAGGTTTGGCACACCGAGAGCAATAATCAGTGATCGAGGAACACACTTTGTTAACCAAATCATCGAGGCACTCATGAAGAAGTATGGAGTAACTCAAATAATCGCTACCTCTTACCATCCTTATACTAATGGTCAAGAGAAAGTATCGAATCGAGAGATCAAGTCGGTTCGTGAAAAAAAATCGTCAAACCAAACTGTAAAGATTGGAGCTTGAAGTTGATCGATGCCTTATGAGAATATCGAACTGCTTAAGGTCTCATTGGTATGTCCCCTTACCGCTTAGTATTTGGAAAACCATGTCATTTTTTAGTTCAATTGGAACATAAAGCTTACAGGACGGTGAAGGAATGTAATATAGAGATGTATGCGATTGACGAAACTAGAAAGCTTCATATTCAAGAGTTGGAAGAAATTCATAGGAATGCCTATGATAGTGCACGGATCTACCAGGATAAGACAAAACAATTTCATGATCGCTGAATTTCTTTTAAGTCTTTTCATATTGGGCAAATAGTTTTACTTTTTAGTTCGAAATTTAATTTTTTTTAGGAAAACTTCGAATGAAGTGGCTAAGACCTTTTCATCGTGACTCAAGTATTCTCACATGGCGCATTTGTAATTAAAGACGATTCAAGAATTCATTTTGGTCATCGACTAAAGCCTAACTACAAGAACCATCAAGCTCTTGTTTGATCAGAGAGCTAATTTTGGAAGAATCTGTAATCTGAATCAAGTCATCAAGCTAAACAACGTTAAACAAAGCGCTTTAATTGGAGGCAACTCAATTTTTTTCCTTTCTTTGAATTATTTATTTATTTATCGAGTATTTACTTGACTTTTATTTTTCTTGAAATTTCAGGTGAATCGAGATTGGGTTTGATTCTCATTGAGACACCAAAACCTGAGTTAGGCTTTTCCAGCTTTTAAAGATGTATTGGTGCTAAAGACGATAGCCATGGTTAGTCCAGGAATGACTAAATTCTAGAGATAGACTTAGGAATATCGGTTTACCGGAGAGAAAAGTAAGTTACAAGGGTTGGACCTTGTAGACTGTAATGGCATGTTTTCCAGAGTAAAATATCTTTTGATGATCAATTGAAATTGAGGCAAAGCAAAGCTTAAGGCTATCTTTATCTTATAATATTTGTTTCAAAATCTACTTTAATTTTATTCCACCATTTTCTAGATCCGCTTTTATTTTGTTTTATTGTTTATTTTTTTACTTTTATTCTTCCATTTTAAAACTCATTTTCTTTTACTACCAATTAAAACAAGATCAAAACAATTCAATGTTAGAAAATAGAAGCTCCTTATTCCTTGAAGATCAACCTTTCTTCTCTTTACTACATTTTTATTTATCTTATTTAAGAATAAATAATATTTATTTGACAATTATGACACTTGTCAATAACCTATATAAGAAACGACCATCACCCAATTCAGTTATTGTGATACCCTCTATTGGGTGTCACACATTCTCCAAAGTGATTCTCATATCTTGAAAATTAACAATACTCGTTCTAAGAAACCTACCAACAAAACAATGATCAAAAGAAATCGAGATTGAATTATCTATAGGCATGAAGGAAAACGCTTCCTCCTCGTCGTCCTCCCCTAGGTTCAAATTATCTAGCGCTTTCTCAGTTTCCCTCATTAGTCGAAGTTTTACAACCGAACAAAGCACTCAAAAACAATCCAACAAAACTAGAAAACTGATAAGATCTCAGAAAACTGTCAAAAGCGACAGAGAAAAATACTAGTCAAAAGACACAGAAACCCTAGTACAGAGAGAAATTCAGTTTAAATTTTTTTAACATTATTAATACACATTTATTGCATATATTCAACCATGAAGAGGAAGAGTGGGTTTCATCGTCAGCGAGCCTGCACTGAAAATGAAATGAAATGGGATTCCATTTCGGCGTCAGCTCAATCCTTTAGGAGTGCTCAAGATAAGACATTAATTAGCAAAAAGGCATATGCACGGTGCCTAAATAAAATGGCTTCATGAGAGATACATTTTGGAACAACTATAATCCCATTCTCGGACACATATGGCATAAATATGTGTTACGTTATTCATATTTCGGAGAAGACATTTGACGAACACGTCTTCATTTATATGATAGAAAATTCAGTTATAGTTTTTAATGTTGTATTAATCAAAGTCAAAATGAAAAAAACAACACATGTATAAAAATGTATAAATTTTGTATGAAAGAAACGTCCGCTATACATGTTAAAAACATGTATTTGTTCTTACGATTTGAATTTTGATAGTGTAAATTTAACAATTTTGACTATAAGATTCTTATAAATTCATTTAACTATTATGTTGACTCATGGATTTTAGTATCTAAATTTTTTTACTGTTATATCAATATGGATCTGATCAGAATTCAAGACATGTTTTTTATAGTTCAAAATCAACAATTTTGATATGAGACTCTAAAATCGCACATTGTTTGGATATAGAATTTTTCAAGTGTTTAAATATAATCGTTGGAATATGTAATCATTGAGTGATTGAAGACAAGACATATACGTGTGCATTGAGCAAACATGTGCTTCAACATGTATTGCATAGACGTTAGTATTCGATCAAGTGGAGTCGAGTGAAGTAATTTTAAGTTGTTCGAGTCAAAAAATCTTGTTTTATAACTCAAATTTTATTTATTTTTTATTCGAGTCGAGTCTAATCAAATCGAGTTGTTCGAGTTTATGTTTAAATTTTATTATAGATATTTATAATATTATGATACTAATTGATTTTAACTTAAACAAATTTTTTTAACCATATATGATATGATATATATATATATATATATATTATATATATTTCCATGTATCTTGTCATTTCTCAGTATCTCCCATAAGAAAAAGCTGCCATCACTTCAAGGAAAAACATTGCATCTGTTTTTCTCTCAATCAAATCAAATTTCCATCGTTATCTAATTAATCTAATGAAACTTATAGTTTTGAACGTCTCTGATTTTTTTTCACCTTTCAAAAAAAAGTTAAATAAATTCGTTATAAAATTAATATATGCCAATAGGTGGTAGTCTGGCAGATGATATGATTGATTAATATTTAAAAAAAAATTATAATGATGTTCGAAATTTTGATATAAAATGGTTAATTAAGACATTAACGAATTTCAAACATAAATAATAGTAAGATAAGTTTAAAATATATAAAAATCTGAATTTTGCCGTCCATTACCATCCATTCACTTAAATGGATGGCGAAGGGGAATGAAATAACTTGAAGATGTGGATGTTAAGTGTGAACCAATTTGCATATATTATTATATATACAAGAGCAAGATTTAAGCTTAATTATTTTTAAATTCAGCAAGATAAAGTACTAATTTATTTAAGCAAAAAGTTTTATTATTGTAAGTGAATAAAAATGGAATTAGAAGTTTTATTCTATAAAAATATTTATTAAATATAATTTAAATTAATCGATTAATAAATAGATAATGATTTTAAAAAATAATAATTTAATGATGTATTTGAAAAGTGAGGAATCTTGCTTTCAAAAGTGGACATGGTCAGCAAATCATAAAGCTAAATTGGACGTTGAAGTGTCGAAGTGCAAAGTGGGATTAAACAAACAAGTAGGGGAAAAGGGTAAATTACAAGTTTAGTATCTAAACTATATGTTTTAGTACTTAAACTTTTAATTTTTTCAAAATCATATCTAAAATATTGTTTTTGTTTCATTTTAGTATCCATGTTCAAAATTTAACGTTAATTTTTGAAAAAATTGAAAGTTTAGGTACTAATAGTTTAGGGACTAAATGCTTTAAGTTTTTAATGGTAGTGGTACTAAAATGAAACAAAAAACTAAACGTTAGGTATGATTTTGAAAAAAATTGAAAGTTTAAATACTAAAGCGGATTAAAACTGATAGTTTAGATACTAAATGTGTAATTTACCCAAAACAACCTAAAGTATGTTCAAAAGGCAAAGATAAATTAGGTTTGCCAAAGAAACTTCCCGTCTTTAGCTACCTCACTTATCTTCCCCTTTTGAGTAGCTAAGCACAACATGCAAATTCAAACAAACACACTTTTGTGTTGGAGTAGCTTAACAAATCGACACGAATATAAAACACAACTGATTAATATAAAGTTAAAAACGATAAAAATCTATTGTAATAAAAAATATTAAGAACGTAACTATTTAGAGTAATTCAAGTTGAAATAAAAAATATCATGTTATTTATAATAAATTATGTAAATAGCCTAATCCTTTCCATTGTAAGTTAAAAAAATATCGTTAAAATATTTTTAGTTGTAATCGAAATTATTATTAATTGTGTAATTTTTTAAAGCTGATAGATAATATTTTAGGTTAAAATCCGATGTAATATAATACTTTGGTTGTAATTGAAATTATTATCAAATATATAACTTTTATAGTAAAAAGAATAACATTTTAAGTTAGAATCTAATTACAAACTAATCTTAAATTAAGACAGCAGACAACAAAACTACACAACAGATCGGGTGTCATTTCCATTTGGATTTCAATTATTTTGAGCATTTAAATTAATTTTATCTGATTCATTGATAATACATATATCTATGCATACCAATACATCACATCTCTTTCATTTCCTTCTTAGAAGGATGAACAAAAAGGTTAGAATTAACGAAAAATCTTCATCAAGTTTCATCGATGAGCAGTGACCAAAGTCTCAATGAACCTTAACCCATCAAACCTCGGCGTAAATTTCTCCGTTGAAGCTGATTTCTTATTTGCAGAAGATTTTTCATGTTCTTTCTTGTCCTGCAAAATTAAATTGAATCAAACACTTTTGTCATTATTTTCTCGGCAACCAAACAGAGCAAAACCCAAGGCGGGAAAAAGGATTAGTAAAAGAAAGAACACAAACCCAGTTTTCAACTAAATCGGAGTGAAAGAAAAAGACCCAGAATTGAGTTCAAAGATTTTACCTCGCTGGAAAGCTGAAAATTTGAGTTACAAGTGAGATTGGAGGAAGCAGAGGCAGCGACGACGGAGGCGGCGAAGAACACTGATTTCTTCATGGTTTTGATGATAAGGAAATCTGATTCGAAGAACTTTGGAGATACGTAAAGATTTTCTTTTCTTTTTCTTTATTTTCTTGGATAAAGAAAAAGTGGGAAAATTTTGCGAGAAAAAATTTGGTGTTTGACGGAATTTATATAGAGCGGAGGTTGCCGTAGCTAATTGGTTAATGCAAGTCTCCAACATTTACGCGGCAAACCACTCCACCCACTTGCTTCATTTATAGCATTTGCAATTACTTGCTTGCCCCTAAAAAGATAATGAAATATTTGCTTAATGATTTAATCAGTTGATATTTAATGTCCGGCAAAATTTTTAGATAATGTAAGTGAGATTTTTTAATTCTCAATATAATTTAATTTGAGGATTATTTTTTCATCTAAGCTGAATTATATAGTATCAATTTAAAGACGTCAGGTGTTTCGTGCGTTTTTAAGTCAAATATGAAGACTCCATGACTATATTACGTCTTTAGACAAATGAAGAAGATTACACGATTGCATGGCGTCTTCAAGTAAATGAAGAAGATCTCATGAGTACACGACATCTTCAGACTAATAAAAAGTCATACTTCAGGAAATAATATGGTGGATGTCTTGTATAAAAAAATTATTTTTCCCATGACTCTATATGAGCAAGGAAGCCTTTAATATTCATGTAATTAAAATTGTAATATTTCTTTAATCAGAAGTTTATTAATTTGTATGCTTTTAATAAATTTAAACAGTGATTTATTCCTGATAGAATTTTTAGAGCTATTTCAATCGATTACATGAAAGTTGAAATTAAATATGGTGATATAATTTGATAAAATTAAAATTGATTCTAATTTCAGTGATTCGTGATGTAAATCACTCATTAATTATTGTATTATAATATTATTTTTATTTAATTTTTAGTACTTTATTGAATAATTTTAGTGATAAAGAATTAATATTTACTTTAAAATATCTAGATTCGAACAATTGTGTCTATAAAATATAGACATGTTATTAATAGATTGTCGCACGAATCGAGCGACTTCAATAATAAATGAATTATTGTTATTCTTTGAGGTTTTCAGTTCGAGTACTGGGAACGTCATGAGTGTAAACGTTCAATATCAAATAATTAAGAGTTATCTTTAAATATATATTATTTTTTACTTATCTTAAAATAATAAAAAATATTATCGATAGATTGAGAGATTTCTCTAAATATATATTATCTTGGAATGAATGTTTTTTTTTTTTTGAATAGAAGAGTGGAAATGGCAGTTTCGTAATAGAGAAAAAAAACAAATAAAGGAAGTTATTTTGCGGCCACGTTGATGTTTCCAAGGTCCTGATAGGCTGGTGATTTCGAGAAAACAGTCCCTTATTGTAAGACAGGTGTACGATCTAGATCTAATTACACAATCATCCAAGTTTTCCCTAGAATTTCCATTACAGTCCCTAAAAAACATCTAGTTATTGCGTAAATTTTTGGAATCTGGAAGGGATATTATTGTAAAATCGGATGCTGTTGTAAAATTGGTGCGCATAATCCGTAATTCATGTTTTTTTTATGGGGAAGGATAATTTGATCCTGATACACGATCGTTGGATAGCATTTTGGTTATTTGCAGGCGTTTAACAGCAGAAACAATTACTGCTTTGGCTTCTCGGCAAGCTGTTCGGCGGCCTCAAACAAGACAGACGACACGGGCTGGGCATTGGCTGGCTCCAATGAGAGACTAGTCCAAAATTAATACGGATGGTGCTAGTCGGCATGATTCGAACCAGGGCCGTGGCTAGATTTTCAGGGGTCCTGTACAAATTCTTATAAAGGGGTCCTATTTTTTAGATATATTCGATTTCGGGGCAACAATAGTGGCGTTTTTTGAAAAAACGTCGCAATAGATCCATCTATAGTGGTGTTTATTGGAAAAAACGCCACTATATATATACTTTTTTGGGATTTTTTTTGGGTCTGAGCAATAATAGTGGTGTTTATTTAAAAAACGTCGCAATAGGTCCATCTATAGTGGCGTTTATTGGAAAAACGCCACTATATATATACTTTTTGGGGCTTTTTTGGGGGCCCTGCGCGGTCGCGCAGTTCGCACCGCCCCAGCCACGCCTTTGTTTGAACTTAACAGTATACGGTGGGATTATTCGACACCATGAAGGGGCTTGGCATGTTGGGTTTACCAAGTCCATCGGCAATTGCTCGGCTTGGGATGCGGAGTTGTGGGGTATTTTTGAGGGCATGCAATTGACATGGGATTTGGGGCTACGTCGAATAATAGTGGAATTTGATTGTAAAGAGGCCATTTCGGCGTTACAGTTTCGGCTAGGGTATGGGATAGGTTCCTCAATGTTTCATCATATTCAAGAGCAGTAGATTACCATGACATGATTATCATTCTAATTGAATATTTTATTTAATATTTTTGAGTCAGTGTTAACGCCTCGTTTTACAGCAATTTATTTTTCCAACAATTTAAAAGCTAATTCTGAGGTAAAATAATGAAGTTGTTGAACTTGATTGAGAATACTAATGTTGTTCAGAAATATTCGTAGAGAATGTCTTTCTTATTCTCTATTATAATTTGGTTTTATGATAACCGACATGATTTCTCCATATTTTCACTTATGCCAAATTGAGTGTATATCACTCGGAGCTCATATATGCTGATGAAATTTTTGTGGGCCATAGGTGAATTTCAAAATGGTTGAAAGCAAATGAGAAGTCTCATTGGTAGGCTGGAAAAATTCGTAAGTTACAAAGGATGTTATTATTAAAGGTAATAATATTATATCCTTTAAAATTAAAGTAAGTATACGTTTCCTGGTTTTAATTGAATGTTATAATATTCTTTAAAGCAATTTGGTAAACGTTTGACCGCATAGAATTGCTTTTAAAACATTAAAACAATGGAAATGATTACTTACGTTTTTGGTATTTGAATTGCAAATATGATTTAATATGTTTCATGGGGCCATTAATATATTTCTTATTAAATGGTTTTTTTAAACAAAGTTTAAAACCATTTTAAATGGTTAGTTAAAGCCAGACTGTTTGGAATTACAATTTGGTGGTAAAGAATAAAAAATTGGTATACGTTTATTGTTTCAATAAACGTTAACATGATGGTTAATTGCTTACTTACAATCATTGCACAATAAAATGGTGGTTATAATAATTATGAAATTGTTCATTTTATAATTATTTATTTAGCTGTTATGATTTATGAGATTAGTGAAGAAGCATGAATAGTGAAACGTTTGATTAAAATCAAATGCATGAGGTTTGATTTTTAGAAAGGATATTTGTAACTTATGGCATTAAATACATTTCATGGTTTCTTCGGTTGTTATGGTCTCAATGAAAATGTTTTGTAATGGTTGATGTGAAGAAACCGAAAGCATATTTATTATTTTGGTGAAGGAAGCTATTTTATATTATAATGCATAATAATCCATGAGATTAATGCATATGAATGGAATGGAAACGATTGATATAGATTATTTGAAACTTATATGTTATAATCAAGAAGTGACATGATTATATTGTTGTGAGCATTAATTAACATTTATGTATGGGAGATCATGCTTGTATGATAGTTGGTATGTAGAGATGAGAAACTATTTATTTTCATGTGGGGGTAAGACTACTCAGTTTCTGAATAGTAAGTTGAAAATAAATGTCAACTCTCTTATCGTACTAATAATTTCTTTTGAGAAATTTATAAAGATAACAAACTGTTGTAATATTGGAGAATCATGAATATGATGATGTTGAATGAGAAGATTCTTCAAACCGAATAGTTGTTAAATTCGGGTTTGATTTTCACAATCTACTGAAGATAAGGAACCAAAATCTTAAAGATAAGGATATTATTACTATCAATAAATTATTTTAAATTTATTATTGTTAGTAAAATATTTTTGTGAGTAACCATATATAATATTCATTTGAATTCAGAAGATTCAAAAGAGATGATGGTTCAGATGAAGTGATTGTCATGATAAATTTTGGGGTCCTAATGCAAATGCTGAAGTTACATGCATGGTGAGGATGAACAAGTCTATTTGGAAATTATGATTGTACCTGCAAAGTCAGACTATTTAGACTTGTTACTTATTAATTTATGCTTGGAATGATGCTTGAATTAGTATAGATGTGCCTTTGAATTAGTGTAACATCCCAAACTACGGGTTAGTGACTAAATCGTAAATTTCAGAATTTGATAATAAAAGTAGAATACTTGAATAATTCAATGATTTATTTGAGGATATTTCCTGAAAGTTGTTAGTAATTATCTAAAGAATTAAAGGGCAAAAGGGTAATTTGTCATGAAAGATATTTTTATCCCTTTATTAAGAGATAAAAACATGAGAAGATGAAAGCATTTCATCTTCTTCTTCCTTTCTCTTCCCCTCCCGTAAGAGCAAGGGCAAAGGTAAGTTTCTTCATTAGTTGATTATTTGTTCAATTCAAGGTTGGGTTTTGATTATTAGATGATAATTAAGCTTAAGGAAAGCTTAATTTGTTCTAAAACAACAAGATGAAAGGTATATGAGAGATTAAAGATTTTGAGTTCTTGAATCAAATCTTGAAATAGAATTGATAAGTTGAATTTTAAGTTGAATTTGACTTGTCATCTATGAGATTAAGAAGTTAGAAGTGTTAGAATTATGTTTGAATAACATGAAAAATTTGATATGATTATTGAATTCTATATGGAGAATAGAATTCTAAGGTTTAAGATGAAATAAATGAATATAGATTGGTTTAAGTATGTGTACTAGAGTTAAGAATGAAAAGGGGATGATATATGAAGTGTTTGAGAGAAATTGAAGTGATTTTCGAGCTAAAAATATGATTTCTGGGCAAGGGGAATCGGTACCCATTCAAGGGGAACCGATACCCCTTCAAACGACAGAATTCCAGAATGCCAGAGGGGAACCGATACCCCCACAGGAGGGAATCGATTCCCCCCTAAAGGAAAATGTTAATATTGGTTTAATAAGTTCGTTTAAGTTGCTAGTATCCAATTAAAAGGTGTGGGTATCTAATAATTGTCTTAAAATGTATAATTATGTAGATTCAAAGCCTAAACGAGTTCCAGAATCATTGACAAGTAAGATCGATAAAAAGGGAAGATAAGAGATTGAAAGGGACTAGTGAGGCCAGGTGAGTGCATATTAATTCAATTATGGTGCTAAATGGAAACAAGACTTGTGACAAGT